GATTGTCCCATAGTGCCCAGGGATGTGCAGGTTAGGGTGGATTGGCCATGCTAAATTGTACCATACTGTCCAGGAATGTGCAGGTTAGGTGGGTTAGCCATGGGAAATGCAGGGTTACAGAGTTAGGGTAGGGTGGTGGGTCTGGATGGGATACCCTTCAGAGGGACTCGATTGGCCAAATGGCCTGTTTCCACACTGTAGGATCCAAGATTCTGTGGATACAGAGGAATGAATGTAATGTTAAACTGTGCCACAATTCTTTTCCTGTTTGATTCCACTCCGTTGTTGTTCCTTAGGTTTTCCTCAGAGAGGCAACATTTAATGAGGAATTAAATCTGTGGACACTGAGGTCCTCAGTGACCTTGTCCGAACAAGCCTTCTTCACGTGTTTGCCTTGACGGCACTGATCAACTTGCTAATTTACCTGTGGCGGTCACAGTGGATCTGATCCAATCATCACCTGATGATCACCCATGAGTGCGCTCAAAGCAGGGTCACTGATAAAGTAGCCAGGTTCTGCCACTTCGCTAGCCCAGCAATTTGTTGAGCTCTCCTGACCTCACAGCCTGGTGGTGATAACTAACTGCAAGGATACTGAGGTCAGAAGGTGAGACGGTCATATCTGTTCGGTTTGATAGCAAATTGCTGATAATGGCGCACAATGAGAACAAGGTCACCCACAAAGGATAGATGAAATAGGGATAGGAGTTGCTGATGATTGCTGAAAATCTTACTGCTCAAGTAAAGTTGTGACTTTGCAGCATTATTTTAAACAATAATAGTTTGCATTTATGTTTCATCTCTAACGTAGTTAATAATTTCTTGGCAATGCACAAGACAATTATCAGACAAAAATTCACTGTGAGCCATCTAGGGCGATATGAGGGCATATGATCAAAAGATTAGTCAATAAAAACCCGAAAGATCTGCAGATGCTGTAAATCACAAACAAAAACAGAAATTGCTGGAAAAGCTCAGCAGGTCTGGCAGCATCTGTGGAGAGAAATCAGAGTTAACGTTTCGGATCGAGTGACCCTTCCTCAGAACTTCCTCAGAACAGTTCCGAGGAAGGGTCACTCGACCCGAAACGCTAGCTCTCATTTCTTTCCACAGATGCTGCCAGACCCACTGTGCTTTTCTAGCAATTTCTGTTTTTGTTTGTGAAAAGATTAGTCAAATTATTTTTAAGCAATTTCTGAATAGGAAAGAAAGAGGCGAGGTGGTTCAGGGATGGAGTTTAAAGCCTGGATGAAAACCACCAGTAGCGGGGCAAAAGAAATCAAGAATCCATTGGATGTTACATTTGATGTAGAATTTGCTCGGGATTCTAGGGCTAGAGGAGATTACTGAGTACAGAGCAACATTGCCATGGATTTGAATTCAAGGATGAGAATTTAAAATTTGTCATGTTGCTAGTATGGAAGTCAGTGCAGGTAATAGATGATGGGTGAGGGGGATTTGGTGTGAGTTAGAATAAGGGGCAACAGAGTTTTGGATAACCTGGAAATTTTAAGGAGGGTGAAGATGGGAAGTCCTGAAAGAGCACTGGAATAGTTGAGACTAGAGGCGCTACGAGATTGGATGGTGATTTCAGCGCAGCAGATGAGCTGGGGCAGGGTGAGGAAGGGTAATACTGCAGGTGTGGAAGTAAGCAGTGTAGTCTTTCATGGGATATGAGCATTGTGGGCAAGATTGACATTTGATACCCATGTCTAATTCAACTAGAACTGATTGGCCTTTCCAGAGGGCAATTAAGAGTCAACCACAACACTGTGGTTCTCGGGTCACATGTAGGCCAGACCGGGTAAGGATGGCAGATTTCCATTCCTTTGAAAATACTAATGAACGAGGTCTTTTTTTTTAACAAGAATGGTTGAGTCATCACTATTGGACTAATTTTGATTCCAGATTTTATTGAATTCAAGAATCACCTTCTGTCATTGTGGGATTCGAACCCGTGACCCCAGAACATTAACCTGGGGTTCTGGATTAACAGCCCAGAGGCATTACCAGTATGTGTTTGTGTGTGTGTGTATAGGGGGTCAGTTAGTTCAGTTCTTTGCAATAGAATGATGCCAACAGTGTGGGCTCAGTTCCTGAATTGGCTGAGGTCACCACGAAGAACTCTCAACCTCACCCCTTGCTTGAGATATAGTGACATTAGGTTAAACTCACCATCAGTCGTCTCTCTCTCTAATGAGAGGGAAGACCTATGGTCTGGTAGCACTATGGCAACTTTACTATGTATATCCTCTTGGAGCAGAGATTGTGTTTGGAAGTTCTGCTCAGGGTCAAATAAGATGCAAGTGTGCGTATTGTCTGGTTTGGCCTCACCTAGACTAAAGTCTGAAGAGGGGATGAAGTCGCTGGCTAGGAAACGGAGTTCAGGTTGATGGTGACTTCTAACAACTTGCAGAAGTGCCCTGCACATAACACACAAGAGTTTCTTACCTGTCGACGGCTATGGCCAGCAGTGCATTGGTGGAGACGTAGAGGGAGACCATTCTGAGGTAGTTCACAGAAGAACATAGAACATGACCGAAGCTCCAGGACAGCTCTCTGACCACGTAATAATCCATCTCGAAGGGGCAGCACACGATGGCCACAATGAAATCTGAGATGGCCAGGTTGACTATGAGGAGATTGGTGATGTTCCTCAGGTTCTTGTATCTGGCCAGGGTCACAATGAAGAAAAAATTGCCGACACCGCAGACCAGCATGATGCAGACAAAGGCCACACCGATCACAATCCTGGCCTGGTAGAAAGTGATATCGGCAGCCTCCTGCCCTCTTATATCAGGCAATGACATGTATTGTTCATACTCATAACTCTGATTCCAAGACAAGCTGAGATCAGTCAAGCTCAAGTCACTGCATTGTGATGAGTTGGCACAGTGATCTGCCATGGCTAAAGTTTTACAACTTTCACCAAAATCCTGCGATCTTTGTTTGAAATGACTTCTTTGGTCAAGAGCTCATCGGTGTTTCTTGCGCGTAAACTTCTGCAGGATGAAACGTTTGATTGCAGAGATTCTTCTGCAGATGTTCTACCTGGATCAAGAGAGACATTTTAACCTTCACAGCTTGCGAGTTATGTGACTGTGGTTGAGAATCAGACAGTTGTCTGCATCGTTCTAACAGACGGCTGGAACACGACCCCGGAGTTGCCCTGTGACTCTGGGTTTTGAGTTTCGGCAAGGAACAGATTCAGTCCCGGTCCACAATGCGATTACTCTCCTTTGTCCAAGGCAGTGGTAAGAGAAAGGTCACTTTCTCAGACTCCGCTGGGCATGGCTTCTGAGGGGAAGAAAGATATCAGCTACAAAAACAAAGTTGCTGGAAAAGCTCAGCAGGTCTGGCAGCATCTGTGAAGGAGAAAACAGAGTTAACGTCTCGGATCCGGTGACCCTTCCTCAGAAGATATCAGCTTGTTCGATATCTGAAAAGAAAGGAAGTGCAGGGCTATGTGAGGAAGGCATGAGTGGGGTAACTTGCTCCCTCAGAGAGCCATCACAAACATGATGGACTGATTGGCCTCCTTCCATGCTGTAACCATATTGTAATTCTGTTTGGCTCAGTTGCTTTTGTATTCGGAGTCGCCTCCACCCCACTCCCTGCACCGTCACCAACAACAGCGAAGAAGACCCATCTTATCATCAACTAGTTCTGACCATTATCCCGGGACCCATGCTAAAACTGGAATATTTTCTCAGTCGCACAGTTCAGTCTAAGTTTGAACTGCGCTGTGTGCTGAGTGCGTGGTTTGCGGTGAGGTCAGGGACAAAAGTGCTTAACAATTGTGCCAGTTAGGAAGAGTCAGTCTTTGAGTCCCACTGGCGTAGACACAAGTGTTAGTGTTAGTTGGGGAGTGTGAAGTTGCACACACGACCAATAGCCTAAAGTCTTCCATTGTCTCAATTGGTGGGCATTTTGACATGGCTTGGGGGGGTGGGGAGAGGGGTTCACATACCCCAGCAATGAGCAAGTAAGTTGAGAAAATGGGAATTAACCTGAGCTTGCATTACCCAGCAGAGGATTCTTTACGAGAAATGCTTTGTGACCCTCCAGGCCCCTTATACAGGGGAGGTGGTATTTTTTGTAGTGAACCTCTGATTTTTCTCTGTGTTCTTTTCACAATACCTGTCAGCACAGAATCTGGACAGAGAGCCTGTTCCCAGCACAGTAAGCTGGTCACAGAGTGATAGGGGACAGGTGGATATTTCCCTTCCAAAGTTTCTGTCTGCCCTGTGGGGAATAAGCCAGAACCTGTACCTGGAGCCTGTCTATGTGGCATCAGTATGATGTGTGAATATCAAATCTATACCAGCTCCACCTCTACCCAATAAGGAGATCTGCACCAGTCACCTCCAAGTGTAACTTCTCCTCCAAACGAGATGCCACTCATCCTCCAACTCTGGCACTGTCCCGACAATCCAAGACCTGTTCAGTAACCAACTAACAGACATAGTCAGTTTCCATTGCACTGCAAGTTTTTCTAAATACACTCATGGGATATGGGTGTCACTGGCTGGGCCCAGCATTTATTGCTGCCCCTAGTTGCCCCTTGAGAAGATGGTGGGGGTGGGGGACGCGCTGCTGCCTTTCTGAATCACCTGCAGTCCATGTGCTGTAGGTAGACCCACGATGCCCTTAGGGAGGGAATTCTAGGATTCTGACACAGCAACACTGAAGGAACAGCCGATAAATTTCCGGGTCGGGATGATGAGTAGCTCAGAGGGGGAAGCTTGCAGTAGGTGACGTCCTCATGTATCTCTTGCCCTTGTCCTTTAAGATGGTAACAGTCGTGCGTTCGGAAGGTGCTTTCAAAGGATCTTTGATGAATTTCTGCAGTGCATTTTGTAGATGGTATGCACTGCTGCTATTACAAGTGCTGCTGAAGAAAGGCTGATGTTCCTGAACAGACTGTGCTTGTATGAAAACTTGAGAGGATCTTTAATGGGTTTAATTGCTGAACTTGTCATTATTCCAGTTAGTGGCCCACAAGCTACCTGTCCCAAATGATTTAACATGACTCTGTATAGACAGGTCCAATCAGACTCTCAAATAAACCAACTGACCCTTGTGTATGGCAAACTCCACCTTTTTGCTTGGAAAAATATTCACAGTCTATGTATGACCTGGTTTTAAATTTATCGAATTAAAGTACATGGAAGGAGGTCATTCAGCCCATCATGCCAGTGTTTTTCTCAAAGTGAGATTTAATTAATTGCCCTCCTTCCCCTACATTTGCCCATGGTCCTCACATTTCTTTCCTCCCTGATGGTAGTGACAAATTCCTTTTGTAAAGCTGCTGCCGACTCTGCTTCCACCACCCATAGCGAGCTCCAGATCACTCCAGAACAACTTGCTGCACATCTTCTTTCTGATCACTTTCCCTCTGGCATTTTACTTAAAATAATTCAAATTACCTTTAAATCTGTACCCTCTGATTTTCCTGTCAGTGGAAGCAGCTTGATTCTATAAGACTCTGCCCAGGACAGTTACAGTGAAAATACTGTTAATATGTTCCTGTTCCCCACTGAAGGCACCAAGCCTTGCTCAGATATAGTTCCGCGGGTGCTGTTAAATAAAAAGTGACTTTTTTTGTGTGTGAATCTGATCAGTGAGAATCACTCCATCGTATGGAACAAGACGTTCATGATTTAACCCCGGTGAGAGTTAGCTAGTGGATCTGAGCTGGGCTGTTACTGTCGGCCTAGGAGACTGGGCAGTTGGGGGGTCAGAGTCCAGATAAGACTAGGTCCCAAACTAAATGCAAAACTGGGCCCAGGTGACAGCATGCACTTGAACTCAGTCAGTCTCAGTAGACTGAAACCTCCACCACCTGTAAACAGATTAGGACACTTGCAATGGATCATGAAAATATCTTTTTTAATGCAACTTGGTTCAAAGCATCTCTAAAGACAAGCGACTGAATTGTCGCAAATCTTACCTTTCTTGATGCTTAATATTTTCAGCTACTTTAAGCTAAAAGAGCAGAAACGGTCCCAGATGTTAGAATAACCTGTACGTGAGGTTGGTAATCTGGACAACCCTAAAACGCTATAGAACTGAATTCACTTATCAGAAGGCAACTCAAGTTATTTTCAGTCCCTAATAGCTTGGTTTGTATTCGTTCCGGTTGACTAGAACTGACTGTGTGTGTCAAGTCTCTGTAAATCAGCAGCAGAAAATGCAGCAGTTTTATCTCACCCTCCGACAATTTCTCATAACGAGCATGGTTTAATGACCCATTGCTTCTGATCAGCCCAAAAGTGTGACATGCATCTTCCTCCAAGAGGCTGAATGCGGAGTGGACTCATTGATACAGTTCTTCTGTCACAAAATATCTCTGGGGCGGAGGGGAATTACCTGAAGAAATTTCCCACTTGTGCTGGCAGCCCACTCCTGTCTGCTTCAGAATTTTTAGATTCCTGAGAGAGAAACCGCACGTTTCTCTGGAGCTGAGCCCGTGGAATACTGTCCTCTCCCGTCTTTGTACTGAAGATCTCGTCTCTGCAGCTGGCTCTGTACCCAGCTCGCTCGCTCGCTCGCTCACTCACTCACTGACACGCAGTTGGGTCTGCCTGACTAGTTCCCTTCTCAAGGAGGAGCAGAATCTCCCAACCAGACTGTTATCTTAAAGGAGAAGTCCCATTTTCATTCAAGTTGAATTAAAAGGTTAGCCAGCCAAGACCACACCCCCCCCACACCATCAATAGTTAAGTGGCTAAAGGTTCCCGAGAGAAGTAAACAGGGTGAGGCAGCCCCCTAGGATGGGAGGAGGGAGGTGGTTTCCAAGGTTAAGATGCTTAGCAACTAAAAGGTTTTTCTTTTCCCAGAGGAGCAACAAAGGTCTTCATATAATTTAACAGTGTGTCACAAAAGCACAACTCATCAATTATTCCTGGCAGTGTTCCACTGAGGCACAACATCTTAAAGGACCCCAATCACCATGCAAAGGGCTAATCGAAATGAAATGGTGCGGGGCATTACCAAAGCTGGAAATAGAAGATGGAATGAGACAAACCAAGGAGTGACAATCTGGTGATCCCATCCTCAGGTTTTGAAATCCTGTGGAATATAGAATGTCTGGGGTGGAGGGGTGGGGGTGGGGGGGCGTGTGGTGCGATGGGTTTGGAGGAGAAGATTAATGCACAGATTTCAATGAAGGTTGAAAGGAAGGAAACTGTGCAAGGCAGGGTTGTCCAGGTCATTAGAGGAACAAGCCCCTTTCACAGAAACACTGACCGTAGCGATACAAGGCAAATAACAGATGGAGAGGCTGGAAAAATGGACAGTAGCAAGGTGGTTTTACTGTAATCTGAACAACCATCCTGCCTTACTGATGAAACCCTGAGGAGGGACTGAATTACCACAGGGATCTGGGAGCTTTTGCATTCAATTCCTCGTAGCTCCGACAAGCAGGGTCGTTATGCTGCAAACCCTTTGATCAGGCTGGGCCCAAGCTCTCTGGATTTGTCTGTGAATGACATCTTCACATTTGCTGCAATATTCAGTGCTCTGTTATCAGCCAAACAGAAACCTTAAGGATATAAATTCTTCAACAGTTTTGTTCACAACCTCTCAAACAGGAGATATCCTGTGTCTGTCAGTCTATTAGCTGTAGCTAAGAAAATTCAGGGGCTCCAGAATTCATGCCACTGTTACTTGTTCACAATAGAATTATGTAATTTCTAACCTGGGACTCATTAGGCTTGTTTACTTTCTTAAAAAGCAAGCATTTCTAGCTTTACCTTATATTTGTTTTTTTGCCCTGCTCAGTAGGCTAGAAACAACGGCCTAGAGATTTTATTGCTGGACTATTAATCCAGAAACTTAACTAATGTCCTGGGGAACCGGGTTTGAATCCCACCACAGCAGATGGTGGAATTGGAATTCAATAAAAAGTAGCTACTGTGATCCATGAAACCATTGCCGATTGTCGGAAAAACCCATCTGGTTCCATAAGGTCCTTCAGGGAAGGAAATTTGTCATCCTCACTTGGCCTGGGTTACATGTGACTCCAGACCCACATAATATTGTTGACTGTCATTTACCCTCTGAAATGAACTAGCAAGCCATTAAGTTGTACCAGTTGCTACAAAGGCTTTTCAAGGGCAACTAGGGACAGGCAATAAATACTGGCCAGCCAGCAATGCCCACAAATGAATTAAAAAAAGATGCTTGGTTGCTTATCTGACTCAAGGCTAATTTTCTCACTGCCTATTTTTGACCTCTGCCAAACTTCTACTCCTACCTTTTATTGATATGACCCATCAAATTCAGTGTTTCCTTCTAGTTAACCTCCTGAACACACACACAGGAGGGATTCATCCAGGAGATTTCCACCCTATTCAATACAAAATCCCCATCATGTACCATGTCTTCAGTGAAATGATTTTAACACAGTCTTCACCTTAATACAAAAAGCCTACCATAGTCTTTCCCCACCTTCTGTGGCCCTGTCTTGATTACCACAGTACACAGCATCATTGATTTTGTTGCTTTATGACTTCCAGGTGACATTACTGAAATGTATAAGATTCTTCAGGGTCTTGACAGGGTAGACATGGAGAGGTTGTTTCCTCTTGTGGAGAGTCTAGGACCAGAGGACAAAAAATCAGAGTACATCGAAGACAGAGATGAGGAGGAATTTCTTCTCTGACAGGGGTAGTGAATCTGTGGATTTGGCTTTACCACAGAGGGTTGGGTCGTGGAGTATCATCAAGGCTGAATCGGACATTTTTAATCAGTAAGGGACTCAAGGGTTAAGGAGAAAAGGCAGGAAAATGGGGCTGAGGAGTATCAGACCTACATGAGCTCATTGAATGGTGATGGGCCAAATGGTCCACTTCTGCTGTTACATCCTATGGTCATCCGTCTTCCCATGATACTCAGTACTCCTCCTCGAAACGTGCCTGGTGTGTATTTTGTCACCTCTGTTTTCTTTCCCTTCACACTTGCATACGAGTGTGACTGGGATTGTTTTGCCGTGGTAAAGGCAGACAGGACCTTTGTTCAGTGCCTCACCTGGAAGATAACACCCGCGAATGCTGCACTGAAGTTATGTATTCAAGACCTGGAGTGGGTCTTGAACCTTACGGCAC